CCCTTCTCCTCCATTCTCCTCTCAGGATCTTGGGCACGCATGCACACGCACCATCGTGAGTTTAAGCCACTGGGTCGGGACTCGAACCACGGTCAGCCACATGAGAGTCCAGCAACATAGCCGTTACTCCAACTGTTGGTCCCTCTTCAAGTATTTCTTTTTTCTCTTAGAGGATTTTTGCTATAGGGCGTGTGCGCTCGCCAGACACAGAGAGAAAGATAGAGAGATAGAAAGCAAGAAATCACCCCCCGGGGGGATGGCCACGCCGCAATCCCTTCTCCTCCATTCTCCTCTCGGGATCTTGGGCATGCACGCACACGTGCCCGGCATGAGTTTTAAGCCACTGGCTCCGGGACATGAACCGCGATCGACTACATGGGAGTCCAGCGACATAGCCATTACACTAACTGCTGGTCCCTTCAAGTAGTTTTAAAACCTCTTTCAAAAAAAAGCTGCACGCAAAAAAATGCTGATAAAAAGTTAAGCGAGGCCCAGCAGGTGGTGTAGTGGTTAAGGCGCTGGACTCCCACATGACTGATTGTGATTTGAGTCCCAGTCTTGGCAGCTTGAAAATCATGCCAGGTGTGTGTGCATACTCAAAGTCTCAGGAGGGAATGGAGGAGAAGGGATTGCAGTGTGGCTATCCCCTCCTTGCCCCCCCACCCCCGGGTGTGTGCATGTGTGTGTGTGTGTGATTTCTCACTTTCCCTCTCACTGTTTCTCTCTGTCTCTCTCCAGTGAGTGCATGTGCCCTATGGCAAAACCTTCAAAAACAAAAAATAAAGTGAAAGTGATTCTGTCAGCACAGAATGCATTAGTGTCATGGAAATGTCGTTGCATTTGATCATTGGCGGTATACATTGGTTACTCAATCTGCAACCTACAAAGGTGTCTTTGTCTTTAGCATTGGATTAAAGTTCTACACAGTGTTCTACTGAAAGGAATGAATACTGGAGACAAATGATTTACAAGTAGCAAAAATAAAACAGAACTCAGCATTTTGTAACTTTTCAAACTTAAAATATCTTCTTTTATCATTGAAACTAATACTTAAATTACTCATCAACTAACTTTGTTAAGAAAAGACTACAAAATTGTTGTCAGGAGAAGCCAAGTGGTTTAGAAAACATGAGCTCAAAAATTCACAAAATAATGTCTCTATAGTGACTGATATGCATGGTGTTCCTTTTGGAAAAAGGACTGTAAAGTTATATGTGTTTCAGAGTAATATAAACAAGATTATGATGATAATAAATAATTTTTTTAAAAATAAAAAGCCCAAAATAATTGAGTATATATAGATAATTTAAATTTGAGTGATTTTTGCTAAAGATAGCACCTTGAGGATTCAAAACATATTAAATACCTACTAGATTTCTGCTCTTGGAGTAGAAAGGGATTTTAAGTATTTTTATTGTTTCTGGGACCTGCAGATGGCATAATGGTTACATCATTGGACTCCCACGTAGTTGACTGTAGTTTGAGTCCCAGACCCAGTGACTTAAAACTCATTCAAGGTGTGCGTGCATGCATGCCCAAAATCCCAAAAGGAGAATGGAAGAGAAGAGATTGCAGTATGGCCATTCCCCCTGGGGGGTAATTTCTCGCTTTCAGTCTGTCTGTCTGTCTGTCTCCAGTGAGTGCATGCACCCTATAGCAAAAACCTCTCTGTAAAAAAAAATAAAAAAAGAATTTATTGTTCCCAGCTTCCAGTTATTATAGGTGAGGGAATTAGGCCCAGAAGAGGCAAGTGCTTCTTGAGTCTCTACAGCAAACAAATTCTTTTCCTTCTATACCTAGTCAGGTACAAGAGGCCTTACTCATCTTAGGAGGCCACGCAGGGGCTCAGTGGGAACCTGCTATGATCTGTAAGGCAGACCCACATGTGATGGTGGTTATGAGCTTCCAGAGGCCTCTCTGTGAACACCAGGCTGATATGTCCCCATGATCTGAGCTGACTGAGACTGAGAGCGGGTTGCAGCACCAAGACCCTGTTAGGAGTGATGTATCTGTCTCTATCACCCATGAAATGAATAAATAAACTTAAAAATGAATCAGTCAGGGGCCAGCAGGTGACATGATAGTTAAAGCACTGGACTTCTACGTGGTGGACTGTGGTTCTAATACTGGACCTGGCGACTTGAAAATCATGCCGATGTGTGTCCGTGTGTGCCCAAAATCCCAGGAGGAGAATGGAAGAGAAGGGATTACCATATGGCCATCTTTCCCAGAGGGTGATTTCTCACTCTCTCTCTCTCTGTCTCTCTCCAGCAAGCATGCACACCCTATACAAAAAACCTAAAAAAAAGAATCGATCTCTAGAAGAAAGTGTCATTTCAGCATGGTATGAAATATATATTATTGTAAATCTATTACTATACAATTAATAATAATATGGAAACTATCTTCTTAATAAGATAAGTTATTTCTTTATTGTTTGGTCAGGCCTTAATGCAGTTGATTAAGGAGGCTGATTAAGGTGAGTCATTCCCTGGGAAGGAGGGATGTTGGGAGCATGCAGGGCCTCATCACAGATCCTGACTAATTCGTCACAGTGAAGCTACACCCTTGGGCAGAAATTTTCAAGGAGAATTGAGAGACACACCCTTGAGACAAGAGGATTGAGGAAGGGCAGATTTCATTTGAACATTAACCATTTGGTCCCATTGATCTAATTTGCTTCTGAGAAGAATATTCATTTTGTAAAAGAGATTCAAATATTACAGCATTAAAAGATACCATTTTTTCTTTTAAAAAGCTTCTTTAAAACTGCACCTTTTTGAGTTTTGAGGCATATCAGCAGCTGTTCTTCTTGCACCTTCCCCTACCTTTTTGGAATCCATCATTCGTTCCTTAACAAACATTCATTTTCACCTTTGTATTCCAGGCACAGCATAGCTCGGAAAATGTGAAGCCAAAGGCTTGATGCCTGACCTTAAGGGGGAGAGAGGTTATTCACTGAGAGTTTATAACACAGTAGCACTGCTCCACATTTTCCCTTGCCAGCGTCACTTACCATTACAAAAGTTGACGCAGCAAGCGGCCGTATGTTGGGGGAAATACAAATGATCCATAGACATTACAGAGAATGTTTTGCTTCATTTGCTCACCAAGTATTTAGAGAGCTCCTACCATATGCCAGTACTCAGCTAGGTGCTTGAGATACATGCGTGAGTGAAATGGTTAATAATCCTTTATAAGCAGAGTTTACATACTAGGGGATGACACTAACAATAACCAAAAAACAATGAATAAGCATATTAAAGAGCATGATGTGGGCCAGTTAGTGGCATGGTAGTTAAGATGCTGGGTCCCAAAGGGAGGACTGTGCAGTTCAAGTCTCAGACATGGTTGTTTGAAAAACATGTCAGACACATGTGCATGCATGCCTAAAATCCCCAAAGGAGAAATAGAGAAGGGATTGTGGTGTGGTCATCCCTCTTTGGGGTGAGTGAGGGTTCTCACTAATCTCTCAATCTCTCTCTCTCTGGTGAACACATGTATCATCTAGCCAAAAACAAACAAAAAACCAACCAAACAAAAATAAGAGTATGATGCATATTCTTTTAAAAAGGGAGAAATATAATCAAGGGACTCATGTGAGAAGACTGAAAAAACGGGGTCCACTTTCTCTGATCAGCAGAGGCCTCACCGTGAAAGGTGACTTTTGAACAAAGGCTTGAAAACAGTAGAAATAGGGGAACCAGCAGTTAGCGTAATGGCTATGTCACTGGACTCCCACGTAGTCGACTGCAGTTCGCATCCCGGACCCGGTGGCTTAAAACTCACGCTGGGAGCATGTACGGGCGTACCCTAGATCCCGAGAGGAGAATGGAGGAGAAGGGATTGCAGCGTGACCATCCCCCCTGGGGGGTGATTTCTCACTTTCTGTCTCTCTGTCTTTCTCTATCTGGCAGCGCATGCGCCCTATAGCGAAAACCTCTCCAAAAAAAAAAAAGAAAAGAAAACAGTAGAAATAAACACCCAAAGATAAGGGCAATCATATGGTTTGAAATTTTAAGCTGACTTAGGTCCATTTTGTCGTATATGTTACTTCCTGGTAAGAGGCTGCAGATAATGAAAAGTCCAAGATTTTGTTTCTCTTTCTTTTCTCTCCCATTTGCTCTTTTCATTTTCTTTGTTTTAAATTATTTCTCCCATGAGCAAGAGAGACAGGAGCCAGTGGAGGGGATTGGGAGGGGGTAGAACAGCACATCTGCAGGGTCTTGGTTCTGGGTTCCACCCCAGCTCCATGCAGCGCCAACCGCCGACATGAACATGCCTGGAGTACTCAGAGAAGCCTCCGGATGGGAACTTGGAACCTTTCCATGTGGCTTGGTCTTGCATAACATCACATTTTATTCTTGTACCACCATTCAGCTTCTATTTGCTCCTTTCAACTTAACTAAAATAAATGTATTTCAAAGCCAGAAGGTGACGTGAGGGGGTGCTGGACTCCCACATGGTGGACTGCAGTTTGAATCTCAGACTTGGTGGCTTAAAAACCATGCTGGGCACACGTGTGTGCATACCCCAAATCTCAGGAAGAGAATGGAAGAGAAGGGAGTGCAGAGTGACCATCCCCCTGAGTGTGTGTGTGTGTGTGTGTGTGTGTGCGCGTGCCTGTGTGTGTGATTTCTCACTTTCTGTCTGTCTCTATCTGGCTATCACATGCACCTTATGGCAAAAATTAAAAACAAATAACAAATAAATGTATCTCTCTTTTTTTTTTTTTTTTGTCTAGCGGTGATTAAAAACAAGGTTTATTTTGAGAATTTGAGCATTTTCTCTTGAGAGCCTAGAACAACATGTAACAAACTTTGTTGTTTCTTCTAATCATAAAAAACCATATATTACCATTTTTAGAAGGATTCTTAGACTTAACAGTTCGGGCAACAAATCAGTTTATTCTTCCTTTGAATCAGATTCAGAGAAGCAATATTTTAATTTTCTCCATCAGTTTTAGATCATTTAAAAATAGAAGTATCTGTTTCTTACAGGTTTTGTTTCTGGCATCGGCTTATGCAAGTTCCCAACTCACCAAGGAGAGCTGTTCGGCCATGGCTGCTGTCATGCATTACCTGTATCTGTGCCAGTTTAGCTGGATGCTCATTCAGGTCGGTACCTGGTCCCTCTCCCCTGCCCCCTTCATCCTGCTGGTAAACCGGGTGGAGTGGTCTTAGTATGTGTTATTCTTTGTGCTGAAAAGAATTCCATATATTCACCACATTATTCCCAGCACAAATACAAAATAAAAATCCTATAAGCTGTACAACATGAAGGAGGGAGCACGGTGCAGTTCAAGAAATAAGAGAGACCTCGTAGGGTTGGAGAGAAGGAAGGGATAGGAGAGAGGCTTGCACTGTGGGCCCTAAAGACATCATAAAAAATTGGAACTTTTTTCTCTGAAAAGTAATGAAATTATTTTCAGCAAGAGAGTGACATGGTAAAATTTGGATTTTAGAAAGAACTCCATCTACAGTGAATTGGAGATAGAAGAACGTGGATGGGGGAGGCAGTTAAGTAGCTTTATCTGTATCTAGGAGAAGAAGTGTGGTAATGTGAACTAAGGAGGTACTACAAACAAAGGGAAGGACAGCTTTGAAGAGCTTTTTTTTTTTTTTTTTTTTTTTTAAAGTAGAACTATAGGATATAGAAATAGTTGGGAAGAATGCAAAAGGTAGAATCCAGCATGTTTTCCACACTTCTGGCATGGGAATATGGTAAATAGTGAGTGGTGTCATGGCCTAAAGTTATGACACTGGAGAACGGGGACAAGATGGTGAGTTTCATTTGGGACATGCTGAGTGTGCAGTGCCTGTGAGACCTCCACTGGGAACTTGGCAAAAAGTGGGATACACAGCGCTGAAGCTCAGAAGCTCTAGAATTGTGTTTGAGGGTCAGCAGGTGGCATAGAGGTTCAGGCACTTGATCCCACATGGCCAACTGTACAGTTCAAGTCCCAGACCCCACTTCTTAAAAATCCGACTGGGCATATGTGCACGTGTGTGTATCTAGAATCCTCAGAGAGAATGGAGAAGGAATTGTGGCATTACCATCCCTGCTGGGGGTGGGGGGGTGATTTATCATTTTCCTTCTTTCTCTTTCTCTTTGTCTCTCTCTGGCTAGTGCATGTGCCCTATATCAAGCTATATTAAACAAAGAAAGAAAGAAAAAGAAAAAAGGAATGTGTTAGAAACTTACTGACTTGGGGTTGTAGAAAGGATCCATTACTTTGGAAGAGGTTAGTTAAGGAGAGAGTACAGAATGAGACCAGAAGAATCCTGGCATAGTCTCCTGAGGAACTATTAGCTAGGGGAGAGATTTCAACTCTCCTTTTCTGACTAAAATCCCCAATTCTCTCTGTTATACTAATATCCTTGAGAAAGAGGCTACAGTGAAAAATTGGACTATGAGCACTATTAATGTCGATAATGTAATAGTTGACCAAAATGCCATCTTTGATAATGTGTTCTATATAATGCTGCTCAATCTTTCATGTAATAGAGAGAGTCTCATATGTGTCTCTGAGCATGCCCGTGAACTATCTTATGTAAACAGGTGCATTCAGGCACTTGCATATTCTTTTTCCTTGTTTACTAAGAAGTATCTGAGACTTGATTGTGCAGCGATAATGAAGTTATGATAAAAGCAGAAAGGAAGTGAGGGGGTAATATATGAAAGAATAAAACACAGGTTAAGGAAGGCATATTTTCCTAGTTATGATATGGTAGCAAGTGGAGCCCTGGATCTGGGTTTGAATTCTGGGCTCTGCCACTGTGTGTATAAGTGCAATCAAGTTATCGATTGTGCAAAGTTTGTTTCTAAATCTGTGTATGGGAATGATAATACCTAGCTAATACAATTATTATTTGCAGCTCTTTGAAGGCCATAATCAGGGAAATTATATGTTATTCTCCAACCTCCTTCAAAAAGAATAAGTAAATCTATGTTAAACTTAAATTATCTAGTAAAATTAAAATAACATTTTCTAGATTTTCTGATTGTGAAGTTCTTTATCAAAGCTGAACTTTATTATTGTATGATTTCTTATTCACACTTAATTGTTTTACCTCTCTATAGCACATAATACGTTTCTTTCAAAGTATGCATGAAGTACGTAGCAATCAAATTTGTGATAGGATATCACCATATACATCATTTTCAATGGAAAACTTTACAGTGTTCTTGTGTCTATTAAATATTTCTTCCCTGAAGTTTTTAAGATCTGCCCTATGGATGTTATCTCTGTCTGACCCGAGGTCCCCAGTGTGTTGAAGATCTTTGTCTGAGTCCCTGACCTATTCAGAGTTTTTGATTAATGACATGGCTGAAAACACAGGAAACCACTTCTCAGATATGCAGATGATCCAAAGCTAAAAAGATAACTCACACAGCAAGTTGCTGCATTAAGATTACAGGTAGATCAGGAAAGAAACTGGACTGTGATAGATTGAAAACTGAAGTGAAAGAGACCTAATCTGATGGAAGTGCATGTAAATAACCAGAAGTTTTAGGTAAGCATAAACCTAGTAGCAATAAACTGTGTGACCAGTAAAGAATAGCAATTACAGTAAGTATAAATTGTAGACCTACATAGACCTCAGGAGATAGCCAAGGTTTCTTTGTAATCTGCAATGTTCCAGCTGCCTTGGACACTTTCAAAACACTTTCGTGGACCATATTTCACCAAGAGCATAAATCATCCAATAAGAAGTCAAAAACAGTTTCATAAGGACTTTGAGGCAGCGGGAGATAACTAACCTGTAAGACATTTATGGACACGTGATGGCTGTGTTCACATGTGGGAAGGGTTGCTACAGGAAAGGAAGGGTGGGTATGTAGCTCCATTTGGCAGAAACCAAATGAATGGGTCAAAAATTAGGGAAACAAAACTTTATTTAAGTGAAGAACTTTTATAGCCAGTAAAACTGTCAACATTAGAAGAGGCTATTTCTAAAAGTAACCTGAATTCATTCACTGAAATATGTTCAAACACAGGAAAATGACCCACTGTCAAGCATGCCTTAGCTAGATTTCCTGCTTTAGGGGAGCATTAGATTTCCCCCAGTGGTGTATTCTATACCTTGTCTTCAAGTCGTAAGTAAATATGAGCGTGGCTGCTGCACATTTAATAAACTTATTAAATTTCTGCATGGCTAATAACTGAGGAAAACTATTTAAAGTACCAATGAGGGTTAATGTATTTCAGATGGTACACCACACATTTTTCATGGTTTGTGGTGTGACCACAAGGGAAAAATTCAATAACTTCTGAATTTTAGGTAGGTTACTTTTAGTGAGTTACTTTGTGGTCAGAGATATCAACCTGTGCTTTCTCATTTATATAATGCTATCTGTTAAAATATTTTATTAACTAGAATCCTTTTTTCCCCCTCAAGAGTTTTATTCAAATGTCCGTGTGCAGACTGATCCCAGAATAAAGGCTACATAAAAAGTAACTAATGCCTAATCTGCTTTATGAATGAAATTGCATAAAATTCTTAAATAGGATTCTTAGCACTACAAATAACTATACTATACAATAAGAATACAACATGACCAAATATAATTCATTTGAGTAATTTAAGGTAGCTTTACTATGAACAAACTTCTCTTTCTTTTTTTCTTTCTATTTTATATTTTTCTTGTTTATATTTAATTATTGTGTATCTTCATGGGGTATAATATGGGTTTTCAAGGCATTCATGCAGTGCGCAATAGTCAAAACAAGGATATTACCATTGTCATCGTTTCCGACAAAGAACACGTTGTGATATGTACCATAAATTTTCACTCAACTAGGTTTTCTATTTTTCTTCCTCTTTCCCCTCCTTCCTCCACAGTAAGTATAAATTGTAGACCTACATAGACCTCAGGAGATAGCCAAGGTTTCTTTGTAATCTGCAATGTTCCAGCTGCCTTGGACACTTTCAAAACACTTTCGTGGACCATATTTCACCAAGAGCATAAATCATCCAATAAGAAGTCAAAAACAGTTTCATAAGGACTTTGAGGCAGCGGGAGATAACTAACCTGTAAGACATTTATGGACACGTGATGGCTGTGTTCACATGCGGGAAGGGTTGCTACAGGAAAGGAAGGGTGGGTATGTAGCTCCATTTGGCAGAAACCAAATGAATGGGTCAAAAATTAGGGAAACAAAACTTTATTTAAGTGAAGAACTTTTATAGCCAGTAAAACTGTCAACATTAGAAGAGGCTATTTCTAAAAGTAACCTGAATTCATTCACTGAAATATGTTCAAACACAGGAAAATGACCCACTGTCAAGCATGCCTTAGCTAGATTTCCTGCTTTAGGGGAGCATTAGATTTCCCCCAGTGGTGTATTCTATACCTTGTCTTCAAGTCGTAAGTAAATATGAGCGTGGCTGCTGCACATTTAATAAACTTATTAAATTTCTGCATGGCTAATAACTGAGGAAAACTATTTAAAGTACCAATGAGGGTTAATGTATTTCAGATGGTACACCACACATTTTTCATGGTTTGTGGTGTGACCACAAGGGAAAAATTCAATAACTTCTGAATTTTAGGTAGGTTACTTTTAGTGAGTTACTTTGTGGTCAGAGATATCAACCTGTGCTTTCTCATTTATATAATGCTATCTGTTAAAATATTTTATTAACTAGAATCCTTTTTTCCCCCTCAAGAGTTTTATTCAAATGTCCGTGTGCAGACTGATCCCAGAATAAAGGCTACATAAAAAGTAACTAATGCCTAATCTGCTTTATGAATGAAATTGCATAAAATTCTTAAATAGGATTCTTAGCACTACAAATAACTATACTATACAATAAGAATACAACATGACCAAATATAATTCATTTGAGTAATTTAAGGTAGCTTTACTATGAACAAACTTCTCTTTCTTTTTTTCTTTCTATTTTATATTTTTCTTGTTTATATTTAATTATTGTGTATCTTCATGGGGTATAATATGGGTTTTCAAGGCATTCATGCAGTGCGCAATAGTCAAAACAAGGATATTACCATTGTCATCGTTTCCGACAAAGAACACGTTGTGATATGTACCATAAATTTTCACTCAACTAGGTTTTCTATTTTTCTTCCTCTTTCCCCTCCTTCCTCCCTC